TATCACACCCGATCATCACGTGGTGCTTCGAAACGACGAACTTTAGCAACGGCGCACAGTTAGGGGGAACACTTTCTTGAAATTATTATAAGGGATCATCTTATTTACTACCGTCGTTCTAAGTAAACAAGATGCATAAACATAATAAACATCACATGCAATTATATAGTAGTGACATGATATGGCCAATATCATATAGCTCCTTTGATCTTCATCTTCGGGGCTCCATGATCATCTTCGTCACCGGCATGACACCATGATCTCCATCATCGTGTCTCCATGAAGTTGCTCGCAAACTATTACTTCTACTACTATGGCTAATGGTTTAGCAATAAAGTAAAGTAATTACATGGCGTTAAATCATTGACACGCAGGTCATACAATAATTAAGACAACTCCTATGGCTCCTGCCGGTTGTCATACTCATCGACATGCAAGTCGTGATTCCTATTACAAGAACATGATCTCATACATCACATATATATCATTAATCATTCATCACAACTTTTGGCCATATCACATCACAATCATATGCTGCAAAAACAAGTTAGACGTCCTCTAATTGTTGTTGCATGTTTTACATGGCTGCAATAGGGTTCTAGCAAGAACGTTTTCTTACCTACGTAAAAGCCACAGCATGATTTGCCAACTTCTATTTACCCTTCATAAGGACCCTTTTCATCGAATCCGCTCCAACTAAAGTGGGAGAGACAGACACCCGCTAGCCACCTTATGCAACTAGTGCATGTCAGTCGGTGGAACCTGTCTCACGTAAGTGTATGTGTAAGGTCGGTCCGTGCCGCTTCATCCCACAATACCGCTGAAGCAAAATGAGACTAGTAGTGGCAAGCAAGTTGACAAGATCTACGCCCACAACAGATTTGTGTTCTACTCGTGCAATAGAGAACTACGCATAGACCTAACTCATGATGCCACTGTTGGGGAACGTTGCATAAAATAAAAAAATTCCTACGTTCACCAAGATCAATCTATGAGTTCATCTAGCAACGAGAGAGGAGTGCATCTACATACCCTTGTAGATCGCGTGCGGAAGTGTTCAAGAGAACGGGGTTGAGGGAGTCGTTCTCGTCGTGATCCAAATCACCGGAGATCCTAGCGCCGAACGGACGGCACCTCCGCGTTCAACACACGTACAGTCAGTGTGACGTCTCCTCCTTCTTGATCCAGCAAGGGGGGAAGGAGAGGTTGATGAAAATCCAGCAGCACGACGGCGTGGTGGTGGATGCAGCAGGGCTTCGCCAAGCAACTACGGGAGGAGGAGGTGTAGCAGGGAGGGGAGGGAGGCGCCAGGGTGTTGGGTGCGGCTGCCCTCCCACCCCCCCCCCCCCCTTTATATAGGGACCCCAGGGGGGGCGCTGGCCCTAGAGATGGGATCTCTAGGGGGGGCGGCGGCCAAGGGGGGGTGGAGTGCCCCCCAAGGCAAGTGGAGGCGCCCCCTCCCCTAGGGTTCCCAACCCTAGGCGCAGAGGGGGGCCCAGGGGGGCGCACCAGCCCACTAGGGGCTGGTTCCCCTCCCACTTCAGCCCATGGGGCCCTCCGGGATAGGTGGCCCCACCCGGTGGACCACCGGGACCCTTCCGGTGGTCCCGGTACAATACCGGTGGACCCCGAAACTTTCCTGATGGCCGAAACTCGACTTCCCATATATAATTCTTTACCTCCGGACCATTTCGGAACTCCTCGTGACGTCCGGGATCTTATCCAGGACTCCGAACAACTTTCGGTTTGCTGCATACTCATATTCACACAACCCTAGCGCCACCGAACCTTAAGTGTGTAGACCCTACGGGTTCGGGAGACATGTAGACATGACCGAGACGGTTCTCCGGTCAATAACCAACAGCGGGATCTGGATACCCATGTTGGCTCCCACATGCTCCTCGATGATTTCATCGGATGAACCACGATGTCGAGGATTTAAGCAACCCCGTATACAATTCCCTTTGTCAATCGATATGTTACTTGCCCGAGATTCGATCGTCGGTATCCCAATACCTCGTTCAATCTCGTTACCGGCAAGTCACTTTACTCGTGCCGTACTGCATGATCCCGTGACCAGACACTTGGTCACTTTGAGCTCATTATGATGATGCACTACCGAGTGGGCCCAGTGATACCTCTCCGTCATACGGAGTGACAAATCCCAGTCTTGATCCGTGTCAACCCAACAGACACTTTCGGAGATACCTGTAGTGCACCTTTATAGTCACCTAGTTACGTTGTGACGTTTGGTACACCCAAAGCACTCCTACGGTATCCGGGAGTTACACGATCTCATGGTCTAAGGAAAAGATACTTGACATTGGAAAAGCTCTAGCAAACGAACTACACGATCTTTGTGCTATGCTTAGGATTGGGTCTTGTCCATCACATCATTCTCCTAATGATGTGATCCCGTTATCAATGACATCCAATGTCCATAGTCAGGAAACCATGACTATCTGTTGATCAACGAGCTAGTCAACTAGAGGCTTACTAGGGACATGTTGTGGTCTAAGTATTCACACGTGTATTACGATTTCCGGATAATACAATTATAGCATGACTAAAAGACAATTATCATGAACAAGGAAATATAATAATAATCATTTTATTATTGCCTCTAGGGCATATTTCCAATAGTAGGGTCATGAGCTCGACCTATACGTCCCACCCAAGGTCACTACCCTAGAAGATGGAAAGACCAAGAGTCAACGGAAGAGCACCAATCTCATACGTCGAGTGCAATCCACTCGACGGTCACTCCACTCTACGGTCGCTACTTATCGTCAGTCGACCACGAAGAAGGTCACTCGACCATATCGAAGACCAGGAGTCGGAAGAGTACACAACGGCCGGATATTTACTCCTTCGTCTTCATGAGCATTAAGAGTACTTAATGCTGGCGTTATCAGTAACGCCCCTTACTTTATGTACATTAGTTCCCTTGTAACGGAGGGGAGCTGGGGTCCTGGCGTACTCTATATAAGCCACCCCCTCCTCTGGCACAAGGGTTCGCACTCTTTGTAATACAACACACATAATCCAATCAACCACCTCCGGGCACCGAGACGTAGGGCTATTACTTCCTCAGAGAAGGGCATGAACTCGTAAATCTCGTGTGTACATCTTTACCATAGCTAAGATCTTGCCTCTCCATACCTACCCCCCTTTTTACTGTCAGGCTTAGAACCACGACACCCGCTTCGCAAGGGCGTAGGCCACCGCAACCATCTTCCCCCACCCAAAAATCAAACGTTGATACAGTCTTCATGGAGGCTGCTACTTGTGAGTTGCGTTGGTATTTTCTCAAAGAGGAGAGGATGATGCAGTACAGTAGAGTTAAGTATTTCCCCCAGTTAAGAATTAAGGTTATCAGTCCAGTAGGAGAACCACGCAACACCTCGTTGGCAGCACCTACACACAAAATAACAAATACATGCACCCTACGGAAACAAGGGGTTGTCAATCCCTTGGCGGTCTATTGCGATGATCAAATCTTGTATAGATAGATGGATAAACAAAACATAAAATAAAATAAAGTAAATAAAATTGTCGCAAGGTATTTTTGGTTTTTTATATATGATGAAAATAGACCCGGGGGCCATAGTTTTCATTAGAGGTTTCTCTCTTGAAGATAGCATACGGTGGGTAAACAAATTACTGTTGGGCAATTGATAAAAAAGCGAATAATCATGACGATATTTAAGGCAATGATCATGTATATAGGCATCACGTCCGAGACAAGTAGACCGACTCCTGCCTACATCTACTATTATTACTCCACACATCGACCGCTATTCAACATGCATCTAGAGTATTAAGTTCATAAAGAATGGAGTAACGCCTTCAGCAAGATGATATGATGTAGAAAAAGGAAACTCACGCATGAATAAACCCCATCTTTTTATTCTTAATGACAACTATACAATACATGTCATGTTGTTTTCTGTCACTGGGATTGAGCACCGCAAGATCGAACCCATCACAAAGCACCTCTCCCATTGCAAGAAAAATCAATCTAATTGGTCAAATCAAATCACTAGATCGTAGAGAAACACAAAGCTATAATAATCATGTATAAATGAGTTTAGAAAAGACTCAAATAATATTCATAGATAATTTGATCATAAACTCACAATTCATCGGATCCCAACAAACACTCCGCAAAAGTGATTGAAAGAGACCATTGTATAGATCTCCAAGAACATTAAGGAGAACATTGTATTGAAGATCAAAGAGAGAGAAGAAGCCATCTAGCTACTAGAAATGTTCAGGATTTAAAAAAATTATTAATGTTTCCTAGAATATCTAGAAACTTTATATCTTAAAATCCCCTCGATTGAAAGGAAGAGTATATTGAATAACTCATGGGTCTTCTATGGCGTACGATGATGTGACAAAACTCTAAAATGCCCTCGATCAATGAATAAAAAAATAGCAGATCGATTCCTTCACACGCGGTAAAACCGAGAAGTTAAATATTTCTTTTTCGTGTGCACACAGAGTTTTGATTACACATAAAATTCCTACTGACTTTAAATGCATACTATTTTATTTCCTGTTGCAACGTACGGGCATATATGCTAGTACAAGTTCTCATGGGGTATAGATGCCTTATTCCTCCTTCATACACCGACGGCAAGCCGTGAGCAATGCTCGGTGCCGCATCTGGACCACCAAATCACTACGGGAGCCGGGATAAATTTTGCTTGGAATTATACAAAACGTGATCTCAATCCTATGATCAGAGGCTTCCACACACAAAAAGTGCATGAGTTATTTTTTACACATACACACAAAATTTCTATGCAAATTATTCCATCCAGAGCAGCTGTACTATGATTTTTGGAAGAAAAATGTTGTATTTAAAGAGCGCGCTCGCTGCTGCGTGAGCAGCGGTTGACAGCACAACGCAGCTTGAGCTCGGTCGTATCCCTCTGGGCCACGCCAAGTGTCAGCAACAAGCACCGAACCCCTCCTCCCCCACCTGCTAGCCCATGGCGGCGACTCCTCCCGCCGCCGCCGCCGCCGCGGGCGGGGCGCACCACAGCGTGTTCGTCTACGGGAGCCTGATGGCGGAGGAGGTGGTCACCGCCATCCTCAAGCGCGTCCCGGCCTCCTCCCCGGCGCTCCTCACCAACTAGTACGGACACTACACGCTAGCCCCTTTCCCTCTCCCATCCCATCCTCGCTGGTTCCCGATCCCTTCACCCCCAATAATTACTCCTCTCTAGACTCCGCTCTCTCTTCTCGTGTTATGTTTGTTCACGGAACAGAGGTTCTTGGAGTCCGTGGTGAGGTGATTGTGTTTTTCATTAGCCGGTACCACTGGTCTCCTTCATCGGCTGCAATTTTAAACTTGCAGGGATTGGTCGGATGATCGCACTCCATTGGATATGAAATATGCGGCATAAACAGAGAATTCATATATAGGAGTAGATAGGAGCTGTGGGGACTGTATGTCTCTAAATGCACAAGAACAGTGGAAAGTAATACCGTACATGGATCTCTATAGCTCTTCAACTTGGGAACTAACTTGTCTGAAAAATTAATGGATTTCTAATCAGTAGTGAATTCAACTTCAAATGGGGCATCGGTAACAGATTTCCTTCGCGAAAATTGCACATCACTTGCAAGTCAGTGCTGCCTGTGCCATTGTCAGTGGCATCTTCAGGGTTTCAGCTCGAAGCCTAACTTGCCCGTGCTATGGCAGCATCGTTTTCCATTCTGTTTTATTGAATTGCTAGGAATTCTTGTGTTTGCACTGGTCACATACTGCCTTAAACACTAACATGTGCAAAGGCGATCTACTATTTCTCTTGTTGTAATTTGACTGTTGAACTAGACTTCTTTTTCATGCTACTCTGGTTCTCCATTCATGCTCATTTTGTTGCAAGTTAAGTTTTTACATCATATGCCGTTATTTGCAGCCACAGGTTTAACGTCAAGGATCGTATTTATCCAGCAATCCTACCTGTTGAAAACAAGAAAGTTGCTGGGAAGGTTTGTTAAGTGTTACACAAGACTCGGCTGCTTATCTTTTTCCTTTTTATTATTATTCTGCATTTATAGATTTGTTAATATGTCTAAAAAATTGTCAGCAGGCTGTGTCCTGGTCCTTTAGCTCCACCGCTGTCATAAGAACATATAGTTCTCTCTGCTTTTACATATCTGGTTTCTCAGCTTTTTTACTCCACAATATTGAAGTGCTGGAGTTTTAGTTATAAGTTATTGTTGTTAAGAGCCTGTTCAGTTCCTCTCCGCTCCTCTAACTGCGCTCCCGGAGCGGACCAGGCTGCAGCTCATTTTCACGGAGCGGATAAAACCGAGCTCCACAGCTCCGCGGAGTGGAGAGATTCCGAACAGGGCCTAAGTCAGTAATTTTCCGGGGAGTTTGGCTCCAGAACGAGCTTCTTATATTCTTAAAAGTTGCTTTGGTCAGACAGGTCGTCAGGTCTAATTTTGTGTGATCCATTATTTACTATTGTTACTAACTTTAGAAACACACACAATTTTTAAACCATGCAATTGTTGGCTGCATCCAGGTTCCACCGCTGTCATCAGAGTGTATAGTTTCTCTCTGCTTTTACATGTCTGATTTCTCAGGCTTTTCACGCCAGAATATCAAAGCGCTGCAGTTTTAGTTACAGTTAATGATGTTAACTATTTTTGGGGGAGTCTGGGTCCAGACTCCAGAACAAGCTTCTCATTCTTAAAAGTTACTTTGGTCAGACAGGTGGTCAGGTCTAATTTTGTGTGATCCAATATTTACTCTTGTTACTAAATTTAAAAACACACACAATTTTTAAACCAGGAAATTGTTGTAGTAACTGCATGTTTTTCTATGAAGTCAATTTCTCACTTGGCTTGGGTTGTTTTTTTCTATAGTTTTTTTCTCTTTTTGCAATCAGGCCAAACGTTTAGCTTGAGCCTCAGTTACACCCTTTCTCTACTTATGCTTACTGCTCTGCAGGTTATGATGGGCATTTCTGATGCAGAACTCATTGTCTTGGATGCATTTGAGGATTTTGAGTATGTAAGGAGAAGAGTTCAGATATCACTAACCGTAAGTATTTATTCAACTGGAGTGACCCACTGTTCATCATCTTGCTTTTGTCATTTGAAGCTGGCAACTTGTCGTTTAGATGGTTTTGCTGAAAGAAAGTTTGCCTTCCAGGATACATCAGAGATAATGCATGCTGACACTTATGTATGGAGTGATGCAGAGGATCCAGATCTGTATGGTGAATGGGATTTTGAGGTGATTGTATCTCATTTCTTATTGTGGCCTATCGATGCGTCTGTTATTCTTTCGGTCCCACACTTCTTGATTCTTGGAATGAACACATTTATTGTGTTCCAAGTGAAACTGCAACTGAACCATTTCTGATCAATAATACAAATGTTAATAGATTTCACCGAAGTTATGAGCTGTGACAGAAGAATCACAACAAACATGTTTGCCCCATAAGATTATGCTAATGTCCACATTGAACCACGCTATTTATGATGAGCTCATGTAGGTAATTTTGCTGCTGAAAGAAAGTTTTAACTCCATTTCTATGTTGGCATTCAGCAGAGAGGGCTGACTGCCACCTTCTTCTGCCCATTTCAGAACAAAATGCTTCTGTGATTGTAGTCTATGTCTATTATGCATATACTCTGATAATTTTCGAACTGCCCGGTTTCCACTATTTGTCGATGTGGATTTTGCTTTCAGGGATAATTTCTTTTTTGCATACAAATAATTACATCGGCCATGTGTTCTCTATAGGAGTGGAAGAGGGTTCACATGAAGGATTTCCTAACGATGACACTTGGATTCATGGACGGACTCGAACGGCCCGAACCGAAGACCCGGGTCGAGACCTACCAGTCTTTCATGCACGAGCACGAACAACCTGAATCAGGAACCCAGGTCGAGAGTTGAGTTAGGATCATTCTTCATGAAGAACCGATTCGTCAGTGTTCTGTAATAGCGTTATCTGAAACAGCTTATATCCTCAGATTTGTGAATAAGATCTTTATAGGATCATTCTCACTGAAACTAATTCGAATACAATCTCTTCTGTGAGACCCCTGATGATCCAAGTAGTGATGTGTATCAGAATAAAATCCTTTCTGCTAGAATTGAGATGAAATAGGTGCTGTTAATGCATGATTTTACAAGCAAAATGAAACCATCTTATATTCTGCGATTGGTTGGTGCTGGCCTTTCTTCTCTTTTCTTCTGCTCACTGCTGACCTACTACCATTAACATCCCTATCATCACTGAACCAAAGTTTGAGATTGTGCCCTATATATGCCAGAGAAAAGAACATCAAACAATTTTCTGGCATTGAAATTGGCCCCAAAATTCCCATTTTCCATGCAAGTGCCTAACCTACATATTTCTTATAGAAACGATCGAAAAGGAAATCCTCAAGGCATCGGACATCAGTGCTTTGAATGATCACTCACTCGGTGCAAATGCTGTTTCAAATTCTGTTAGGTTGGGTTTTCTGCACAGCATTCAGATGGCATCAGACATCAAAGTGATGAATTGCAGAGTAAAAAATAATAGCTTGGGATTCATGCAGATCTGAAGAATTTCCTCACAACAGAGGAAGCAACAGGTTACTACCACAGAACTTGCCTTCCCAATAATACAACATATTCCCCCTAACCCTCTCCAACTCTAGGTAAGCTTCATTTACCCATGCCTACTTCCTTTCTTGTAACAACTACACATATAAACAGAACACTACTGATCCAATGAGCCGCTTGCGCTCCCGGATGTAAGCTGGCAGAATCTACAACATCCTGGCGCCGCACAGCCTTCTCCGGTCATTCCAGCGGTTGATGTCCTACTTAGACCGATACCGTTGGTGTGTATAGACTGGTAAATTAGGTCATTCGAACTGGTCATATGAACCGGTGGAAGGGTTGCCGGAGTTCTGGTCACAGCGAGCCCTCCAGGCATTGCCCCCGCCCTCCGAGCTGCTGCACGCCTGGTTGGGGACAACGCTGCTCCCCAGATCGCCGTCCAAGCTCATCTGCTGCACTTCCTGAGGCGAAAGGATCCTGATGCACTTCACGCAGTTCACAAACTCCCTGTACAACCACCATAACACCCACAGTTATTAGGGCAAAAATATGTGCATGCGTCCACAATTAACACAAGCTCAGTCTTGTGTACGCTTCATCGTTCTAGTAGGCCAGATTTCACATTGTCACTACCAATTGCTATCTAGTATTTTACAACATTAACTACTATATTATTTTGGAGGCATCTAAATATATGACATTCTTGAGTCAGAAATAGTTCACGCAAGCATAAACGGGATGACAGATGAACTTACTCCCAAGGATCATCGCCAAGAAGCAGGATATCATCCTCGTGATCTCTGTAGACAAGTTTCCAGCCAATCCTCTGTCGTTCCTCAAGTTGCCCCTCTATGCTAAACATTCGAGCCAGTGCATGCTTTAGTTCCTCATATCCAGCGTATTGACTAATGTCAATAGACCGGCCCACAGCTCCACGTTTATAGACCTACAGAGACCGTTAGGTTAGGCAAAGATGCAACAGGAAAGGCACTCATGAATATTAGAAAGAAACCAATGCTTGAGTGTAGAATTAGCTACCCTGATCAAGTTACAGCAACAGCTAGCCGGCTACTGCTATTAATAAGAAATGGCACACATATGCATGCTAAAACTTCATTTTGCTTCTATTAGAATCCCAACCCGCATCTCATGAATCATGCGTACACAAATCAAATGTGAACATAATCATTTTCCACACATGACAGTAGTCACATTTTACACCTTGAGTGTACCTTGGTAAAGAGAACCAAACTCTCTAGTCTTCTGCTCTTCATCACAGGCAGAACACAATTTACATACGGACCAATTATGTAATTCATGTTCCTCATATGATTATTTTTGTAACATTTAAGAACTTAGTGAAGGGAGATTGATCATTTGGTTTATAGTTCACTATCTCATGATTTTCATCTTCCAACTATGTTACCATGGCAATCAAAATAGGCCTCCTGTTTATTTCATAGGACAACCATACTGAAAATTAAAAGATAATAATGCACTGAAAGTAGCATTCAAGATTCAGGTGAAAGAAAAGGGAAAGCACTAACCTTCGTAAACGTCCTCATCCTCTTTACTGGAGGAGCAGGCGGCCAAGAACTTTTGTTCAAGAAGGCACCATTGTTGATTCCAGAGTCAATTGAATTAAACGCCATGTCTGACGCACCAAATGACTGTGAAACCATGGAGGATGATATCTCTTGCTGGGCATCCTTTGGTATTCTATAGTTGTTATCAATGTCTGTAGAGATATGATTTTCATACTTGACAGCATCAATCCCATTCGTCAGGAAGTCATCAGTTACCATAGGGAAGCCCACATGCCCATCATTGCTAATTCCAAACAATGCATTATTGCTTGGAATTTCAGCAGGAATTTCGGTATCTGGAGGTGCATCTTTGAACAGCTGCTGCTGACTAAAGTTGCTCATGGGGAAATTTGGATGTAGGAGTCCATCAGCCTGGGAAAGCCAAACTGAAGTTGCTGAAGAAGCTGTTTCTAGATAGTCTGTCGGGGGTGCGTTGTTCGCAAAATTTTGGGGACCAGCTCCTCCATTTGGTAATTTTGAAGGCATCATATTTTGCTTTACATTGGAATTCAACTTTGGCAATTCCTTTGTCATTCTTTGAGCTCCGGTGACAGCATCAAGGGAGCTTGGAACTGACATAGGAGCAGTTGAGTGAGGTGCCTTCTCCGTGTTGATCATGCTGGGGTACTGGTCCCTACCAGGGACTGGTTGTAGAAGATGATTACCATTAGCAGTGGAAGGTGATGTTGAGCAAGAAGGGATTTCTTCCGTAACTACAGAATGTGTAGCACCAGGCATCCTCAAAGGGCTTCCATTTGCTGAACTGAATTTAAGTGATGTGGTCGTAGGAATGGCAGCTTCTAAGGTGTCTGCAGGCAGAGCTTGCTTCTGTGGAAGCTTCTGGTGTGTAGTATCTGGCTGCATAGGTGGTGGCAGTGATGCTGCATGTGATGGGATTTTTGTGCTTTGTTGAGGCATCATCTGTTGTTGAGAAAGTGAATGGGAGCTTGACAGCTGCTGCTGCATATCCATAAGTAACTTTTGCTGTTCTTGGATCAGAGGTAATTGCGCAAGGGTAACTCCAGGTTGGGACAGCAATGATTGCTGCTGTTGCTGTAGCTTTTGCAGGAGTTGAAGCTGAAGCTGCTGATCCGATAATTGCAGCTGCTGATTTGACATATTTGGCAGCTGTGCAGGCATCTTACTGAGTTGCTGCTGTTGCTGTTGTTGTAACTGATGTTGATGTTGTTGCAATTGTTGTTGCTGAAGTAAAAGCTGCTGCTGCTGTAGAAATTTTTGTTGCTGCTGCTGTTGATGTTGTTGTTCTTGCTGTTGATGTTGCTGCTGCTGATGATGATGTTGCTGCTGCTGATGGGACAGGAGCGGCTGGCTGGCGGTTGGCAACTGATTTTGAGGTATATGTGGCTGCTGCTGCTGCTGCTGCTGCTGTTGCATCTGACTCTGTATAAGGACCTGAGCTTGGGCAAGACTGGTTTGAGCTTGGCTCAAAGGAAGGGCATAGTTCATGGACTGTTGTTGCCTCTGGAAGTTGCTGGCATCTTGAGTTTGTTCTTCTGGTTTGATGCTCGCACCATTCTGGTTCAATGGAAGGGCTGCCTTGGACAACTCATTGTTTGGCTGCATTTGGTGAGGAAGTTTGGGCGTATTAAACTGCATGTTATTCTGTTGCAGAAGCTGGTTCTGCAAGCACAACTGCCTCGACAGATCACCGGAACCAATATTTTGCATACTGGGGTTGGTTATTGACCGCAGGTACTCGGACTGCATGGCTGTATTTGCAAACGAGGAGCTCTGCTGCATATTCATGTTCATCCACTGAACCAAGCTCAGACCAGGCATTATGGTATTTTGCGTCTGAGGGTCCTTTATGCATATCTCTTCACCCAGCCAAGGCATAGCCCTCTTTAAGAGATTCTCCATTTCTGAGGACTCATCATCTGTAAGTACATAATTGGGATCAACTTATAAGCATGCATAAGACCAGTTCAATAAAACACTTAGATGAGAAGACTATCCAGAACCATTTCGGACTCCAATAAAATAATGGCTTGTCTAGCTATAATGCTCCCTCATAAATATGTTTTCATGGTATGGATGCCTGATCCATGTAAGAAAACAAGAATGTAGTCTGATAGATTCTCTATAGCTCAAACATCATTGTTTTCCTGAGGATCATAAACTCCTAGCTACTCATCTCCCTAAGGATTAAAGGGACAGGGTAATGATGTTCTTTGCAAAAATGCAAGTACTAGCTTTAAATTAGGGCATCTAGACGAATGTATCAGAGATATACATGCACATACAATAAAACACTACATGCCACACACCCACCACCTCTGGTGCAGGCCTACTTTCCCAATTGTACAGTTAAAATGTAACATGATTTAACTATTGACATCCAGGATCAACAACTCTATCAAATGGTTATTTAGAAGATACAAAATAAGTGGCGTTGAGGTAATCCCAGGTCTACCTAGTTGTCTGGGACGCTTTGCACCAAAAAACGGAGGCGGGCATATGAAAAATGGAGCAGCGACCGGTTCAATCTCCCAGATTGAAACTCTGTTCCGTCTTTCACCTGCTGCAGATTCATCCCAACCAACCTGTTTAATGAAAGTTCTTGGATCAGCAGCAGAAAGGGGCGAGTGATGCAAAACAATGCTACCCAAATCAAACTACTAAACCAACCTGTAAATTGCGCCACTGAGAATTTTTCCATCTTACAGGATCTAAATCATTTATGCCAGTTATTGTGCCCATGTACCTGCAACATGCTAACATATGTCAGGTACTAAAAGGTTGAAAAATTGTAAGGACCGCTAACAGTCCACTCATTAAGTATAAGCATCAACAAACCACTAAGCTAATCATATAATATATATGACAAGATCTACATGACTCTTTCTTTCTTCAAAAAAGAACATACAAAAAAATATGTAGCCAATAACTTGAAACAGAAAATTAAAATGAGCAATAAAATACCTTCTCGTTCCTAATTCCTCAGTTTCAAACATCATGCGGAAGCGCATACCTAAAGATAATTGATTACCATAGACAGCCTTCTGATACTTAGCAAATGGGATAACAAATTCAGTAGGGCTGGCCCTGAAAATATACAGTTTGGATGTCATGGTTTGAAACACCATTGTGATTCACCAACACTGAGCTAATTAGCAGTTAATACGGGGCGAAAGTCACAGAACTGACCTGGGGTTATAAAAGATGGTAAATGGGCTATTGTTGGCAGCAGCATGGGCTGCTGCAGCAAGAATCCCTATATGCATGCTGTCACTTGAAAGGACAGATGATGATATGTTAGTCGGTTGTCGGTTAGCACGCCTGATTCCTAGTAGAAGTTGCTGCCTTTCGTCCCTACAAACGTGTTGGAAAAAGGAACAAGGGACAGTCGCCGTCAGTTTTACCATAATAACAGAACTAGTACTCCAATACACTTCATTAGTTCAAACTTAACAAATATATTATCAGAAGATGTGCTGTACCTAACGAAAATGACAGAGTCTCCAGCAAATAACCTCTTGCCACTCACAAAGAGACTCCAGCCAGTCGTAAGGAGATGTCTCTTTGGCTGACCTGTTTACAATATAAAACAATTATGACTAAATACACCTGTAATACACAAAGAGACTCCAGCCAGTTGTATGGATATAATACACATGTAAACATACAGAAATTTCATATCAACAGTATTTAGAAGTGAACAATGTTCAATATTGAGTAACAACAAAATTAGATGTTTAGATATAGGCAATAGAGATCCTTTTGCAGCAGGAAAGATTTCCACAATGCTGAAACTTCTTACCCCTATATATGTGACGGAATGTCCACACGTTATCATGCAAATCCCTAGCTTGTATCTCTTGAGCGGGTGGTTGCATTGAGAAATCCTAGAAGAGCACAAAGCAACAACAATTTAATCAGAAGGACGAAGGATACATAAGATAAAGCAAATGAACTTGGACTCCAATCTTTTTACATACAAGAGGTGGAAATATCTTCTCTGCGGCTCGGCGAGGCACAGAGAAGCCTCCATGCGTACTCGTATCACTAGCAGTCAGTGTCTTACAGAAGAACTCATTCTGTGGCCTGGCTTGTTTGAGTGCTAGCTCTGATAGCTGCAGTGCCTCCTTTCCATACTGATCATAATTCAAACCGATCAAAATACAAATAACTATGTTAGCATACCGGAACAAAAGGGAAGTTCTGAAAAGAAACAACAAACAGATCAGATACTTACTGAGGTAACTGGCTGAAGAGTCATTTGTGCATAAACTTCATCAGTTTCTAAGTCAGCCTGAGACAGATAGAAATCATTTTCAGTATGCATGATGACAAGCAGAAGGACAACAAATAAGCATGTGGCAGTAGATTACATGTAAAGTGATATTGTGCAGTAGGCAGATCAACTTGGATGGAAGGTTTGGGTAGTTTGGAACATGGGCATCAACATCCTTCTGCATAGAAGCTGCAACCTGCCAAATGGAACATGCTTAAGTCCCAGATCAAAGCAACTTAAATATAATCATAAATTCAACGAAGGGCATACTAGTAGGTAGGACCAGAAACTGAAACCGACAACAACCCACAGGAAGAAGAATAGTTTCACATCACACCCCGAATATCATTGCCATGAATTGCAAGTTTTTATTCCGGTTTATCTTCGAACCGTAAACTTCCAATGGGACGAAACAAAATGAAACCACAGAGGGAACCAAAGTTCTGTTAAGCCATGCTCCACTTGTAAATCCAAAATATACCGCCTAACTATTATTTTTCTTTCTGCAACCTCAGTATTATCATGTAATAATGGGTTTAAAAATTGTAAGGCTCAAGTTGAGATTTATGTACAAAGTAAAAAAATCAGCAAGTAGAGCCAAGTGTTATGAGGCCATTTCCAATCATGCCTAAAACAGTTAACACTCCCCCTCATTGAGCCGAAAGGGGAACCAATCGCCAGTACAGAATTAGGCACCTCCCTCCCGGCACTATCTTCCCCACGTAAGGAATCCTTTCCTAATCCAAGCATTCCATCACCCCAATCCTCCAGACTTGCTCAGAACAAGCTCACTGCAGAGCGCCAAATGCAAGAAAGGTGCAGCAGAACATGCTACTAAATGCTCCCAGCAGCACCGCCCAATCAATGCAAGAATTCGAAGTGTACTCGGTTGCTTCATCCACCAGACAAACAGAGCAAGAGAATGGTGCAACACACCAGAAGCCCATAAAAGAGGGGGGCCGGTAGGCCCCTATCTCCCCCAACCACTTTGGCCACAAGCTTAAAATTGGTAGCAAACAGAGCAAACCATAGTACAGGTAGCAACCAACCGACTAACTGATAATAATACACTACTATCACATATGCCTGTAACTGAAGAAAAATACAGATATCAAGAGGACAGTAATGGTATATCACATAACCAGCAAAAAGAAATCATCAATTGCTGAATCAAGGGATTTTTAGGGAACAGAATATAGGTGCTTTAAGAAAGTCGTCCAAGAATCATTCCTGGAAATAGTAATCTGATGGGAGAGAAAATGGCAAGTGACTCTCAACACTCAAACAGCAAAACATCACATCATATCAAATCAGAACAAGGATAACCATGACTCACACCACCACCACCCAACGAAATGGAGCACCGCACATCGAATCAACAGAGATAACTCTCAGCAACAGGTTCAGGATGGCAGAAACGAACCTTGGCCACACAGGAACACAGCTCAGACGGCGCCAATTAAATAAAAATTATAAAAATGCGAACCTGATTTTGCTATTGAGAAAACTCAAATCAAGCTATTAAATACTTGATCTTGATCGGCAGCAAGAAGACGATCGAAGGGTCAATCAAAAGGGGGGAATCCAGCCAAAGAGCTAGTAACAGACAGACATCACTAGACAGAATAATCTGGCGAAAGCATATGGCGAGACGGAAGAGAAACAGGCATTTACCTGCTCGCTGTGGCCCTGTGGGAAGTAGACGATGAGGCTGCCTGCCGGCGGGAGCTGCACCAGCGGGCCGGCGCAGGCGTGCCACAGGTCCGAGTTGATCGCCGGCGCCTTCTTCTCCCCTGCACACCACCGAGTCCATCAGTAATAAACCAGAGAAACACCAGCCTTGGCCACCAATTTCTTGTTAACACGGAGAACCAAATGCATCTATGCTCAAAAAAAGAGAACCAAATGCATCCGGCTCCGTTGCCTTCTTGGCACAGGCCGCCGGCGATGGCCGTCGCCGCCACTGCTACTTGTTTCGGAGTGGCATTTGTTTGGTTGTCACTTGTGTTTGCAGCTAACAACAGCCTTGCTGGCGAAGTGGTTACAGGAACGACACCGCACATGGCTCTCCGGCGCCGGCGACCAGCCAGCAGCCAAGGTCCAGCAACTTGTTTTTTTAAATAAACCCCCCGACAAACCGGAAAACACGTAGCGAAACCCCATGTGCGGACTCTCACATCGCGTCACCTTTGGGACCTGGAAGAGCCAAGAAAGAAACAAGAGGCCGCCGGAGAAAAGGGATGAGGCTTTCCGATCCCCCCTGACGCAATAACGCGAGAGGGGGAGGAGCAGACAGCAAAAAGGACAACGCCACCGTTGGTTGGTCTCCGAGGCCGAACCGCCATGCCATTGGAAGAGAGGAGGGAGGAAAGGAGGGAGGGAATCAGTAGTAGCAGTACCTTCGCATCCGGCGCCCGGCACCGCCACGGTCACCGCCGACCCGGCGACCGAGCTCGCCGGCGGCGGCGGCTGCTGCCGCTCCATCTTCATCATCTTCCGCCCGGAGTCCCGGACGCGCGGCGACCAACCAAACGAACGAGCCGACCGGATCACCTGGTCTCCGCCGGCGAGAGCTGCTGGCTCAGAGAGCACCACGCATGGCCGCACGACCAGGCCGGAAGAAAGGCGGGCAGGCCGGCCGTCCCAGGCCCGTGCGCGCTCGCGTGTCCCCTCCGACAGGCGGCAGACAAGGGGGGCGGGGAGGAGAGGGACTGGGGTGGGGGGCGGCGAGCACGCGGCGCCGAGACCGAAGACCTGTCTCCCGCTGCCTAGGCTGCTACGCGGCTGGCTCTATGTGTCGAGAGAGGAGAGAGAGAGAGGGAGGGTCGCTGTGCCGCGTGATGATCTCTCTCGCTCTCTCTATACTCTCTCTCTCTCTCTCTTCTGATCTTGCTTGCTTTGGTGTCTCTGCAGGGCAGGGGCAGGGGCAGGGGCAGGAGGAGGTCTGGTCTGCGCTGCCTGCGCCTGGGCGTTGCTTGCTTGCTCGCTTTGCTTGTGCTCTGCTGCCTCGGCTGCGCTGCAGACGCCTGCCTCGGGCCACTAAAAGTTTTTCTTATTGTCCGTGTGGTGTGGCGTGAGAGAGATGGAGAGGAGTACGGTCGTGGTCAGCTCGCTCCGCTGCGTCTCTCTCCCTTTCTCTCTCCCCCACCACCCCACCCCACCCCACCCCACAGGCTCTGCCGATGGTTTTTCACTGTCCTCCAGTTTTGTTTTCTTCTTGCTCCCCCTCACTCCGCGGGCCCCACGCTGGTGTTTCTTTGGGCGCATCAGTTTTTCCACTTTGCATACTTTGTCCCAACTGGACCTGACTTAGCATATGCAGGCTAAAAAACAAAATCTGTATGTTGATTGGTTGCGTGCATCCCTAGTCTGAATGTGCTAAAACGAAAGGCATGTTGTTTGGTTGCGGACTTGTTTGAGGGGAAACACAAGTCTTAAGACTAGCCACAATGGAAGTAACTTCGGTAGTAACATCGAGTCCAACTCAGCAAATTTGCTTATGTGGCAATGAGTTAATGAGGAGAGATATAGTACTAGTAACTTAGCTAGTTACTGTAACATCACATCTCTCAATGCAATATGAGTCTATAACCTAATAAATGAAGCTTTGCATGTTACTATACTTATGTTACTACTCCCTCCGTCCGGGTTTATTAGGCCTAAAGACAACTTCTCTTAGACCAAGACACATAGTAAATTGCTCACATTAATTCTATCATTCCACACCCAATGCACTCTCTCACATGCATGCAGCCAATGAAGAAATATGCATGAAGTGAATTAATTTTCCAGCCATGGCACCAACAACAATGGCTTTCAATACAACCAATGAAATGGTTGCATGCATGCACCTTTCCAAAGCAAGGCCTTATAAAAAGGGACATACTTGTGATGCTGAGAGGCCTAATAAACCCGGACGGAGGGAGTACCCACTATTGAGGTAGTAACATAGTCTAGGGATATGTATATGTTACTAGTGTATGTTACTCTTCATTGTGGCTAGTCTAAACAATGACTGGACCACGGGAGCTCGGGCGGTCGTGGCAAAGGCATTGACATGCTCCTTGCACTTGGTGATCACCTCCAGACCCTCGTCGTTGAAGACGATCACCTTCACGGTGTCGGGGCACAACAGCTTGAACGTCGGCATGTACCCGATCATGATTCAGTGAACGACGGCGAAGGTGGCCCAACCCTGATCAAGGATGACCCTGCCGTCGATCACCCTCACCGTCACCCTCCATGCGCAGCCGGTGTTCATCTTTTGCTTGAACTCTGTAGGGATGGTGGGGAAGTGCTTTGTGAAGTCGAGAGGCGATGCGGACTCTCTAGCTTAGGAGCAAGGATAACCTTGCATAAGTGGTTTGGTCCTGACTCCTGATGGAAATGGCCATAGTTCCTCCGCTTTGGGGCTTGGGTGATCCAGCACTTGCGTTTCGTCCAATGGAGGCACAACCTCCTTGCCCTTCTCCAATAGTGGCACGACATCCTTGTCCTTATCCATCTGTATTATGAACAACACACAGTTCAATGGTCAGCATTCATTCATATCGGCCTAACGCTCCAATATTAACCCATCCTACTAACCCAGCACCGCACTCAAACCCCCTCTGTTTCACCACCTCTCCTCTTCCACCTCTCTGTTTCACCACCTCTCCCTTGCCATGAACTCCAACGCCAACCCTTTCCCCTGGGGCATTGGATGAAGGGCCTTCTTCCTTGGGTGCTCGCTCAGTGACCGCAAGAAGTTCGGGCACACCATGAAAGTGTGCTCGAACTTCAACAACATCAATGACATGCACAAGGAGGCTGATGTTGTGATTAAGAAGGATATGTCGGATGAGCTGAAGACACTGGTTCCAGACCCAACCAAGGGCGTGATGTCAGTGGACATCATGCGTTGGGCCATGAATCATGCAGACTCCAGCGACGCTCGATGGGCCAAGTACAGTCAGTACAAGGCGCCTCAAGACCAGCGTACTGCGGCGTACTGGAGTAGTACGTTCGGGTCACTGGAGTCCGACAATGACGAGGTGCAGATGGTGGCCAGGGCGCCGACGGCAGGCGACCGTGCAAGACCCATCGTTCTTGAT